AGTTATAACTGTTATAACTGTTTAACTGTTTAACTGTTATAACTGTTATACAGTTATAACTGTTATAACTGTTTAACTGTTATAACAGTTATAACAGCTGTTATAACTGTTATAATTGTTATAACAGTTATAACTGTTATAATTGTTATAACAATTATGACTGTTATAACTGTTATAACTGTATAACAATTATAACAGTTATAACAGTTATAACAGTTATAACAGTTATACAGTTATAACTGTAACTGTATAACTGTTATAGCAGTTATAACAGTTATAACATTTATAACTGTTATAATTGTTATAACAGTTAAAACAGGTATAACTGTTATAATTGTTATAACAGTTAAAACAGTTATAACTGTATAACTGTTATAACAATTATAACTGTTATAACTGTTATAACTGTTATACAGTTATAACTGTATAACAGTTATAACTGTTATAACTGTTATAACTGTTATAACTGTTATAACAGTTATAACAGTTATAACAATTATAACTGTTATAACTGTTATAATTGTTATAATAGTTATAACAGTTATAACAATTATAACTGTTATAACTGTTATAATTGTTATACAGTTATAACTGTTATAACAGTCATAATTGTTATAACTGTTATAACAGTTATAACAGTTATAACAGTTATAACTGTTATAACTGTTATAACTGTTATAACAGTTATAACTGTTATAATTGTTATAACTGTTATACAGTTATAACTGTTTTAACTGTTATAACTGTTATAACAGTTATAACAGTTATAACAGTATAACAGTTATAGCAGTATAACAGTTATAACAGTTATAGCAGTTATAACAGTTATAGCAATATAACTGTTATAACTGCTATAACAGTTATAACAGTATAACAGTTATAACAGTATAACAGTTATAGCAGTATAACAGTTCCCTTCTTCCATGGGAAATATTTCCCAGTCGTCTATATTAATTGTGATCGGCTAATTGACTCGTGTTCCAACAAAGATATTCTATTGTAAAAGCTGAAACCTTATTGTTTTTTAAAGTCCAGTAATTATCGATATGCCATCTACCACGCCTTTGATCCCCCGAAAAAACGTCTTCTGATCTAGATCATTTACATAAATTACAAATTTAGTTTGAAATCTGAACATTTTTCCAAAAAGCAGCAAGTTTGCAGGTATGATTAATATATTTTTGATTTCCCATCATCAGGTTTAAGTCAACTGCTTTGATAAAACTGGACTTTTGAATATAAAATCATTTTTGTCCACGTTACATGCGCTCTGCTCTGTTGGATACCTTATGGCCCTGGCCTTTTATTTTTGTACCTCTTTTATTTTCCCACCTGTTGAGCTTTCATCAGCGCGGGTGGCGAGTGGGAGGATGAAGGGAAGGATGGATGCAGGATGGATTAACTGTGCTGTGTTGTTGCTGCAGTTCACACATTCCAGCGGGCCAAACCGGGCCAGCTCTCCTTCAACCCCCCTCTGCCCCCTCATCCCTTCATCTCCCTCTCAATTCAGCGCTGCAAAGAAACCACAGGGAGCCTTTTGTTTTTCAGCACATCTCTTCGTCAGACTCGTTTCACTGAAGCTCCGATCAGAGCCGAAGTAAACGTTTCCTCCTGCAGATGATGAGGCTTCTTCTGAGAGCATCACTGGCAAACATCTCGTTTTACCTGAGAGTAGAGCGCCATCTAGAGGCCACATGATGTCATCAATGTGTTTACAGAGGGAACAGCTGATCCAACCCCCACCTAAAATGATGCTTTAGTTTAAATAAGCACCAAAAATTTGAGCTTATTTAGCAGCTGTGTTTATATTACATTAAAATACCTGAGCCCTACAGCTGTTTTATTCCTGGAGTCTTGAAGAAACGGATATTTTTCAAGTTTACTTTTTTTATTTTTTTTTTATATCAAAATTGTTTAATTTCTAACTGAAGCTTGAAAAATAAAAGCACGAAAACCTTTTAAAATGCCTTAAAGTTTAGTTTCTTTTGGACTTCATTTATGAAAATCACAACAAAACACTGACAAATAGTTAATAGATAATAGAAGTAGCTGAGTTTTATAAAATAGTGAACATTTAGAAGGAGCTCCGGGCTGGATTCTTTCATTTCTGATCGTTTCTCTGTAATCATCAGTTTTTAGGTTTTTTCTTGTCGTCGCCATGAATTTAATTTAACAAACATTATGTGTGTGTGTGTGTGTTGGATCTGTCAGGGTCGGGTCGAGGTGGAGGCTGGCAACGAGAACATGAAGTTTGAGACGGGACCTTTCTCTTATTACGGTGTCATGGCGCTCAGTGCTTCCATGCCGGGTGAGTTCACTTTAACCACATTTACTGTTTATTCATCCACTTTTCTTTAAATCTCACCTTCTTTAAAGTCTTTCCCACACAAACTATATTTAAAAAAGGGATTTAAATGTTTATTTATTTGTTTTTTCAGTCTAAATAATTTCACAGAAACATTTTGTTTCTGTGAATTAAAAAGAAATTGAAGTTCTTCTTCAGCGTCCTGCAAGTCTTCTTTTATTTTATGGAAACGTTGCAGCAGTAAGTAATGAAAAATCAACAAGTTAATATGAGAATGATCTGTATTTAGTGTGGCTGCACTGTGGAACAGCGGAGACTGTTGCAGCGCAGCACTAAGGTCGCAGGTTCGAGTCCCGTTTAGGGCCTGTCTGTGTGGAGCTCTTCTGCACTTTGGTTTGCTTTGTTGGCCCGAAAACGTGCGTCTTAATTTAGTTTGTGGCTGTAAATTGGTTGATTGGTGTCGTTTTGCAGAGAAACTGTAAAGCAGAAAATGCTCTGAGCCCGTCAGCTCGTTCTTTCCTGACACACGGTCAGATTTTTAAAGGCCTCGTGGAGAGAACGAATAAAAGAAGATCTGAAACGTGATTTGTTTTTTCCTTCTTCAGCATCTTTCACTCATTCCGTCCAGCTTCTGTTTGATCAATGATCATGTAATGTGGTTCAGCTGGCGTCTCCATGTCCTCGCCTGGTCTGTGAGCAGATCTGTCTCCCTGTTGGTCACTGACTGTCCCTCCCTTCCACCCCCCCCTCCTCCTCCTCCTCCCTTCTCTCCTGTCCTCTCAGTGGCTGCACCTCGTTCTCGCCTCCTCTCCTTTAAAAGGTTTTCTCTGTTCTCTCGGTTGCCAGGTAAACACCGGCATGTCTGGGTCCTTTAACACCGAGCGCAGGCGGGGCTCAGGCTCGGGGGGTGGGGGGTCTTTAGCTTCACACGCTGGGTGAATCTTCTCATTATGATATGCACTTCTGTCTACAGCCAACTCGGTGATCCTTTGAAAACATTTGTTTTGGTCTCAGCGACCGGGTCGTGGGCAGAAGTGCAGCTTCGTTCAGGCGTCATCCTCATCAGCTTCACCCTTCATGTGATTTATTCTAGAGTCACCCTGTAGGACAGCAGTCACAGAATGACAGCTACGTTTTGGCAAACAAACCATTTCTCTGATCTGATATTTTCTAAAATATTTAGTTTTCACACAACTCCTGCATTTTTTTTTTTTTTTTACTTTACTTTATTCAGGTATTGACTTGTTTAATGGTTCTGGTGTTTATCTGATGTTAAATTGAAGACCTGATGATGACGCTGTGATTTTTGTTTTTGTGTCCCGGTTTGTATAAAATCATAAAATAAAAACACAGTAGTCCCTCGCTACTTCACGGTTCGTTTATCGCGGACTCGCCCCGTCGCGGTTTTTCAAAATAAGATTGGGCATGACACACAACTGGCTGATTGATGGATGAGCCGCACGACCGGCATGGAATTTTTATTTAAAATTAATTATTTTCAATTATTTAGCACCTGCTGCACATTTGTGCAGCCCACTCTGCAGGTTAAGCTTCCTCCTGCAGCTGATCTCGGTGCAGAGCGGAGAAGTGGGCGTGGCCAAGAGCGCTTGCAGGTGGTTGAGAGCAGCGGAGGCAGGGAGCTGAAATCATGACATGCTGTGATCTTTTTGAGCTTTTAGAAACATTTTTTAGAATATTGCAAGAGTGTGGGAAGGGTTAAAACGCCTTAATATCTATATATCTTTATATATATATATATATATATATATATATATATATATAAATACCAAAATAAACTACTACTTACTACTTGTACTACTATTCCTACTTTGCGGTTTTTCACTTATCGGGGGCTTCAGGTACGGATCCACCGCGATAAACGAGGGACTGCTGTATTTGTTATTATGTTCCTTTCCTTTCGTCGCCCTCCTGTTTTTAGCGCTGACGTGATGACGAACTGCTCGTTCGTCCCCCACCACACCCACACCCCGCCCCCATCGTAGCCAGCAGTCTTGACTCTGGTCTTTCAGGGTGGATTTAATAATTATTTTTAATAACAACTTTGTTTGCCAAAATGTCAGCCCAGTTCTGGAGCTGTCCGTGAAGTATCTTCACCCTCGTGGGTCGAAGCTCTTCTTCTTGTAGAGTCCTAATCCTAATGGCTTCACACGCTTCTTTCCTCATTTTGATCATGACTCTGCTAAATAAATGGAAGAAACACGAAGCTGTCACGATGTAATCTGTAGGTTTTTCATTTAGATCGTAGTTTGTAGTGAAATCCTCGGCCTGGATGGACTCCAGGACATTAACTGCTGCTGTAGAGTCATTTGAAGCACAAGAAATCATCTTAAAGGCAGCGCCCAGCTCCAAATCTAATCCCAATCACTGTTGAAGCTTTAATTTCTTGTTGAAGGATTCTTGACAAGCAGATTAATCATCAAACTTCTTGATTCTGTGTAATTCTAAACATCCAGTAGGCAACTTTTCTTCAGGTTTGTTATCGGACGATGCTCATTTTAAAGCATAAATAATAAGAAAGAAAGAAAATCCAGGTGTTTTTAAAGTTTTGGAGTGAAAGCTAAAGTTTAAAATGTAGATTATTTGTTGAGTGCAGCTGTAATCTGTTTATTTTCACATCATTTTGCTTTAGAAAACGTAAAATCCAACCTTTAGTTCACATCTGAGTGAATTAAGTATCTTATTATTATCAAAAATAATACTAATATTTAAGAAAAAACAATTAAACTAAAACAATAAATAAATAAAAACATCTGTCTGATATTTTTAATTGACTCTGCTCCATAAAGACATAACACAAAAACATTTAAGTGCTTATTTTTTACATTCGACGTGATCCATCTTCAAAATAATGATGTCAGACAGCTGCTGTTTTTCTTTTTCTTCAACATGAATAAACAAGAACATTAATTTAACTTTATTATTTTGTCTGAAACAAATCAGCGTTTGTTGTGTTTTTATATCAGAGTTATTTCTTGTAGAAACGGTCTGACTGTAAAATTACTTTTAAAATTAGTAGAATACTTCTAGTTTTTATTTAAAAAGTCACAAAAGTCTGTTTATACAGAGCATTTAGTTAAATGACGTGCTTTCTGTAAGATCAGACAAACTTTATAGTAAAACAAAGTAAAACTAACCCTAAAACAGAGAATAAACAGAAAAACGAGTTTATTTAAAACGACCGGTTGTGAAGAGATTATTGTGTTGTATGAACGGACTAAAGGAAAAACTCAATTAAAGGCGGCCTCCTCCCTCCAATAAAACCCCACCTGTTAAAATCAACAGTTACAAATTTAACTTTTAATACTTTGTTCAATTTTTTAAAGTTTCATCAGAAGAAATTTCATACTTGTTTGACATTAAACTAGAAAGAGAGAAATCCTATTCCTATATATTAATATAATTAATTAGAATAGAATTTAAGTAAAATAAAATAAAAAATATTTAAAATTTAATTAATTAATTGTAATTTTATTTAATAATAAATAAATCATGATTTAATCATTCTAATTTCTAAATTAATTAAAATAAAAAAAAGAATAAAATTAAATGCAATCAATAGAAATCCTATAGAATTAATTAGAATAGAATTAAAGTAAAATAAAAAAAAATAAATTAAATGTATTAATTAATAATCATTTTAATTTAATAATAAATAATGATTTTATAATTTTTATTTATAAATTAATTAAATCAAAAATTTTAAATAATTAAATAGAATTAATAGAAATCCTAGAGGTAAATTCTGTCCTAAAGAAAACTTTAGAATAGAAAGATAAAGATGAACGTAAAGATAAAGTAAAAGAGGAACTATAATAGCAACTTAAATTGTATTATTGTATTTAATAATAACTTTAGTGTAAATCATCACTTTTTTCAGGGAGTCCAAGTCAAGGTGGCAGCAAAAATCCAAACCGGGAACGATCCCGTAAACGTTAAAGACAATTTAATGTGCAAATATAAACAGAATAAGAATCAAGCACGGGTTAAAGCATCGAACGTATAATAGATAACACTATAACCAGGATAGTTCATGATGGATACAGGATGATTGTTGTTGTTTTAAGAGTTTCATTGGAAAAACCCGGTAAGATCCAAAAATCTGCGGTCAGGCCTTTTTCAAGCTTCGTCACACTTTGACCAGAAGGAACCAGAGAAAAGTGTCCTGCTGGATTATTGAAGCTTCACGAGAACGATCAAATAATAAATGTTGGCAGATCAAGTCTAACCTCTAACTGTTAAACTAGTTGTAGTTAACGCCCTGAACACTAACTGTCCAGGTAAAACCGTTTCCTATGACTCACTGAGGCCCCCTGCTGGACGACACACACCCACTGGTAATATGAAACACACACTCTGCGTGCGTGTGTGCGTGTGAGAGCGAGGGAGAGCATCTCCACAGTGAATAAATGATCTTTCTCCTCTGTTTGACCCCCCCTCCTCACAGATGTTTGTCTCTAATGACTCACTCAGATCATCGGCGTTAACCCGTGTTTGAAGCTTCACAGCATCTTGTGTCTCCTCCGAGCTGTTTTCCCACCGCAGAGACAAAAGTGTCACTTCCTGTGTAGATTCCACGTTTGACTGTGGGCAGGACGTCCCGTCAGAGGCAGCCGTGTCTTTCAGGCGCAGATTCTCACCGACTTTTCTCTGAACGCCTGCAGAGTTTCGCTCGCCGTCCCACCTCGGCGGCCTGAACCGGACGGCCTCTCTGAGCGGCACCGACCGGACCGAGTCGCTCGGCGGCAGCTGCAGCCAGCTGAACAACAGCGTCCCGCTGCAGCAGTACGTCCCCGACTTCAACGTGAGGGCGCTCACCGACCTGCAGTTCGTCAAGGTCAGTGCGTCAGAAAACAAACCGCTGCCGTTAACCGACCGGCAACACTTTGAAACATGTGTCGACTGTTCTCGTTATTACACGCACAACTGACACACTTTTACTGATTCTAACTGTTTTATAGCTTTATGATTTTGACTATAGATGTTTTTTTTTTTCTATCAGAGCTCATATTATGAAAAACTAAAGCAATAAATTCTTGAAAAAAAGGTTTTAAAGGGCTTTTATGATGAATTCTACACATTCTTACGTTTAAATTGTGTCAGGGTCGTAGCCCAGGAGCATTTTAGTTTCTTCCCAAGTTTATTGGCAATGGATGGGACACTTTGAATAATAAAACCAAATAAAATTACCTATAACCTCTGAATTGCTGGACAATAATAAAGTTCAAGTCAAGAAGAAAAGAAAAGTGAAGTGGTGTAATTTAGATCAGCAGCAGACGGCGTTGTGTTGAACGGAGCGAGCAACGATAAACTTGATAACGTAACAAATTAAGAGGGATCCTGATGGGAACCAGTGGAGTTCAGAGGTCAGAAAATGATGATAACTTTAAAACTGGTGTTGTACACAAACGTCTTTGTTCTGTGGTTTGCTGTCAAAGATTATTTGTTCAACAGTAAAGTGAGGAGTTCACCATTAAAGTGTTTTAAATCATTATCAAACATAAAACTCGAGGCTGAAGCTGAGTTCAAACTGATGGAGCAATGACTACTTAGTCAGCACTGTGAAAGATTTGAGGGCTACAAAAATGAACATTTCTTTCTATATAAAGAGTATAATGTTTAACGTTGAGCATTATTCATGTGTCTAACCTCTCAGAGGGTCCTACGGGTCTTTAAAGATCCAGTTCGTTCCAATACACTCAGATCTGGTGAGTCGGGTGGTTGTCTTCAGCTCTTTGTCATGTTGTGAACAGTTTTTATTGACAGACAGACAGACAGGTAGATGGATGGAGTAGGGATGCACCGATTGCAGTTTTCTGTCCGATCACCGATTTCTACAAAGCCCGACCTGCCGATACCGATTTTGTTTTCTAATCGACACTTGTCAGGTCGTATAAGGTCACACTGCACCTTCAGTTCTCCACTCTTATTTTATTGAAAAACGTACCCTTGAACAATATCCTAGAAACAATACGAACTTGTTTTGACTGGCCATGAGGTGGTGCTCTGAAATATAAATGAAGTTTAGACAGTTGTTGTTAAAACTAAAAAAAAATCTGTAAAATCGGCTTCTCGTTTAAGTATCGGCCCATTTCCCAAAATTAAGAAAATCTGGGCCAATAAATTGGTGCACCCCTGGGATGGATGGATGGATGGATGGATGGATGGATGGATGGAGTCACAAGTTTCTTTATTGCCATTCACATGTGGTACATGAGGGAGAATGAAATTGTGTACACAGGGTCCCAGTTACATCCAACAATATCAAAAATATAAAGTGTAAAAAGAAAACAATATATAAAGATCTTAGATATCAACTAGGATATACGCTAAACAAACGCCCAACTGTACGTTAAAAGATCTAAGGTATACACCAGTTACTAACTAATAGTGCTAAACAATACACCAAACAACAGCAGCACGATCCTCATAAGTTCAGTTTGACTATAAGCATGCAGCAAAAATACAAAAACAAGGTGCCAAAGTGAAAAAGAAATGAATCGACAGCAGCGTGATCCTACATACATACATACATACATACATACATACATACATACATACATACAGTACATACAGTACATGAATACATACATACATACATACAGTACATACAGTACATACAGTACATACATACATACATACATACATACATACAGTACATACATACATACATACGTACATACGTACATACATACATACATACATACAAACAGTACATGCATACAGTACATGCAGTACATACATACATACATACATACAATACATACATACGTACATACGTACGTACATACATACATACATACATACATACATACATACATGCAGTACATGCATACAGTACATGCAGTACATGCATACAGTACATACATACAGTACATACAGTACATACAGTGCATACGTACATACAGTACATACATACATGCATACAGTACATACATACAGTACATACATACATACATACAGTACATACATACATACATACATGCATACAGTACATACAGTACATACATACATACATGCATACAGTACATACAGTACATACGTACATACAGTACATACATACAGTACATACATACAGTACATACAGTACATACATACAGTACATACAGTACATACGTACAGTACATACAGTACAAACATACTTACTTTATTACTTACTTTATTAATCCCAGGGGGAAATTTGATGCATCCGGTAGCATTTTCTAATTATACTGGAAAAAAAGAAGCAGAATACACACATTTGGGAAAAGACAATATGCACAAGGTGGTAAGGAGTACTACATTCATGATTAACCTATACTGTATATATGTATACATACACACACATCTAAGCATACGTATACATGTTTATACATATGTACATGTACATGTATATATACAAACATACGAGTGGGACGATTTTAATAGGATCATGTTTCACAGTGACACCACAGGTAGGTTGAACCCCCCCCCCCCCCCCCCCCCGATCACAAAGCGTGATAAATATCTGTTTCTGCTGCTTGAGTCATGTGACCTCCTGTGTAAACGTTGTTTCCCTCCATCAGATCACACGAGCTCAGTATCAGAACGGCCTGATGGCGTCTCGTCTGGACAGCACGCCTCAGTCCCCCGACAGCAGCCACAACGTGTCCCGCCTCGACCAGATGACGCCCCCCACCAGCATCACCATCACAGACCTGGGCGCGGACCCCACCCTCACGGAGAACGGCCCAGACGAGAAGACGCTTCTCCTGAACGAGCAGAACTCTCCGGCCACGGGCAACCACCACAGCCAGCTGGAAAACAGCGTCTGACCCCGACCGTTCCCCCACCCGCGCACGTTTGCACACATGCACTACAGCGCTTGGACGTTTGCTGAGGAGGCGGGGCTTGGTTGTGTGTCACACAGCTGGACGAGGCCCTAAGAGACGAGCCATGTGCGTGCACATTCTGTAAATATGCAAGAATTTAACAGCGATGAGCCAAAACAATAAAGTCCAGTGATGGCACGCCCAGATGTGACAACCTACAAAATAAAAGCATTTAAATTTAGAGAACGTTTCACTTCACAGGTTGTTGTTTGACCTCCGCCGCCTTTATTCTGTTGTTTTAAAACCTAAAACTAAAAAATATAAATGCAAATGATAACAGGACACAATGACCTGCAAACCTCATAAACCCAGATTTTATTCTCAGTGGAACATAATAAACACGTCAAAGGTTGAAATAAGGTTTATATAATTCTTTTAAAGGATCATTTTGATTTTTTTTGTTCTACTTTTTTACAGACTGATAAACCTCTGCCCGTCTTTACGTCTCTAAAATTTAGCTTTTTTTATTCATACCTTTTACTTTGACAGCCTCTCAGATGTGCACGTTCCATAGAAATCAAAATAACCACATTAAAAAATATATTTTTCTTAGTTTCAACGTTAGCTTCATTGTGAATAACATATGGGTTTAAAGAATTAGTAAATAACTTTGTTCTATTCTTATTTTTATAATTGTACTCAACGTCCCAAAAAAGTGGAGTCATGACATAAAAAAAGTTTGTTTTTTTCTCGTTTGTGTAAAAACTGACACTAAGGAGGGGCCTGATTGGTCACTTTGGACCTGGTTGGATTTTCTGCGTCACTTCTAAAATTAAAAACATTTAAAAGCACTTGATTGGATGCAGTTTGCTGAAGTTGTACAAGTTACTGTAAAACTATAAAATACTTCTACATTTTTAGCACAAATAGTGCTCAGGTGCCTCTGCTCCGGTTTTAATGTTTTGGCTCATCAGTGTTAACCAAACCTACCAGAAGGGTATTCTGTATGAACCCAAGAGACGGTAAACTCTGTGGATGTGTTGACGTCCATCCGAAGGACCCGCCGAGCTCCCCCACGTCGCCGATGTGAGTTTCGTCCTCCGTTTCGTGCGTCGCGTCCAAATCAGACTCAGGGAGACTCCGCCCTCCTGCCCCTTCGCCATCAACGCGTCGGTGCCCGACATCCGTAAACCAAACCCACCACGTGTAGCAGCCTGAACCCCCTCCACCAATCAGCTTCCATACAGCTAGAAGACAAAGACCATCTGAGCATGTCGGCGGAGTTCACGCAAATATATTTGTTCCGCAGAGATTTACAGCGAATTATTTATTCATGTGAGACGGACACGCGTGACGGTTTATCGTTTCCACGAGGGAGTTTTTAACGAGAGCCTTTATCCCAGAGCTGTGAAGAGATTCACTCGTTGATTGACAGCCCCGTCCGTTCAGCGATGAAGACAATCGAATGAAACGCGTTGGGTACGTTAGCCGTGGCTGCCGTGCTCTCAGGCCGCGTTCTGTCCGTGAAACCTGAATCTGGGATCAGGTTTACGGCTGAAGGTCTCCGAGGGCAACGACTTCACGAGTGTCTTTTTTTTTTTAAATGTTCTGTGTTTTGTGTTTGTCTGTGACCAAAGAATGGCCATCGCTTGACTTGGTGGGATCAGAAACCAAAAGACGGACGCTGCGTCGCCTCCTCACGAGAACATACTTTAAGAAATCAGAGACTTTATTTATTTACTTTATTGTCTGTACATATTGTTGTTAAAGGAAGAGGCAGGAATTTGAATTTTTCTTAGCCTTGCTGTGAGATTTTTGCAATTATTTGCGTTTATTGGTTCTGTTTGAGATCCTTTTTTTAAAATCGGAGTCAAGGGGAGAGATTATCAGCAACGTTTTATGATTCATTGTGTAGCCAAACACTCAGTTTTCATCGTCTGTTTTATATTAAACCGTTGTGTACATATTATAATTATACCTGTGCTTTTTTAATATAACGTCCACACTCCACCCCATGTGTTACTGTACCTCCAGAGGTGATTTTAAGATAAAACCAGTCAAAATCTGAGCTTTTTTTGTCTCGTCTTGGGATTTTTTTTCTCCATAATCTCGTGCAGCTGCAGTGTTTTTCCAAAGATTTTCCACATGTGAGCTTTCTTTACTTCACCAAACAATAAACATCTGGTTCTGGTTTTACCAAAATGTGAAGTATTCTTACATAATGTTTAGAACGACCTGGATGAACTTTGACCTTATAACCTTGTTTTAGCAGCTCTGATGCGTTTTTGTCAGCTCGTTACTCGCACGTGAGTCGAACGCGTTTCAACGTGCAGATTATGTGAAAAGGAGTCGACCTGTCACGATAATTTGCTGGGTGATTAATTGTCTCAGAAATTATTGCGATAAATGATAATATTGTTTGAAATTTGACAGTAATTAATGTCAAGTTTAAGTAGAAATGTTTTTTTATTTGTTTTGTGTGTAGTACCTTTGTTTGACCACTGAATGGCAGTATAAGACTGTTTGAACCGAAGGATGGATAGTGAGGGAGCGAGCAGCGTGTCTCTTTAAGAAAAATGGGAGGGAGGCCTCTTGACGTGACATGGGCTGTCTGTTTTCGGTTCTCAAAATGGCGGAAGCTCTGTGTGGTTTAAGCTCTTTAGCATAGCATTTTTCACACAAAGCTTTTATTAAAAATCAATAAACAAGTTCTCAGCTGCTTTTTGCAGAGAAAAACAACTTTTTAGACGAAGGCACGGGTTTCAACCGTGAATTTTGGAGCTTTGACAAGACGGAGGTTTTTTTCCCCGAGGTCGGCCAGTTAGCTTAGCTCGTAGCTTAGCTTATCAGTTTAGCTGCTTTTAACGATCCAAAAACACGATTTTGGACGGTTAAAATGGATTTTAAAGAGAAAAGAGAGGGGGGGGGGGGCAGTGAAGAGCACCGGAGTTGAGCTTTTTGTCATCCAGTGTCTTCAGTAGAAAGAGAGACTCATAATGTTCATTTATCATGAGATTTATTGTTAATCGCGACAGGCCTAAAAAGGAGTGGCGCAAACCTCATTTAGAAAACATTGGGCACGCTGTGTAAAATAAAAACTAACAAAATGCAATAATTTGCTAATTTTATTTGATTCATAATAATCATCATAATACATTTTATTTGTATAGCGCTTTTCAAAGTACTCAAAGACGCTTTACAGGGGTTCAAAAATATGCAACACAACACATAAAAACACAAAAAAGGACAAATTTAAACATTAAAATCAATTTTAAACAGTTGGGTTTTGAGTTCTTTCTTAAAAGTGACTCGAGCTGGAGATCTTGTGAGTCTGTCACGAACCTCTGACCAACACCCTCATTTTCAGCCTGAAACTGAAACCAAAAGCAGAGAAAACGAGGTCATTTCTCTTTTTTTTTAATCGAGTGGAATTACTTTTAAAAACTCACGAGTTGCTTTGAGGGATGTCTACACTTGAGAAAGAAAAAAAATCACGTGTGTTGGAGAAGAGCAGAGACGCTTTGAGTAAATGTCAAGGGTTTCTGCAGCATCTGACCCAGACCCGCTTCTGAAGAACTCAAGTTGAAAAGTTTTCCATCCCCTTTCTGTCACGTGTTTTAGACGAGATCAAAATGACATGTTAGTGGAGTTTGAGAGCGCTTTAGTTTGGGTCTCAAAGGTACATTTTTTTGTTTCAAACACAACACAAGTGTCTGAAATGTTGTTTTTTTTTTAGGTAAATTTGGTTTTATTGTGAAGTTTCATGACAGGAAACGACAAATTAATGTTGAGACGATGTGACATGATCAGCTTTATGAGGAAAAACTGATCTAAATGTAATAAGAGAATAAATTACATCTTAGTTTGTTTGCTGTTTACACAAACGTTCAGTGCAATCTTTAAGAAAAGCTATTTCCCTTAACGTTTTATCAGACCTGGGCATTGTACGGCCCCCGGGCCCTTTGGTCGACTCTGACTGGCCCGTGTAAGGGGAATTACAAAATAAACACGTTTTCTAATTTTACCTCATGCGTGGACTAAAGCTGCACTGCTTTTATTTAGGTTTTTTTATTCACATACAACGTGACGCAACATGTAAATGAAGACATGAGCAGGCCACAAGACGACGTTCGCCCTCAAACATGTCCACTCGTGCTAAAAAAAAAAGAAAAGTGGATGCAGAGTGCACGGTTTTGAACAATAAATGGACTGCTAAATGTTTATTGACTGAAGTCGGAGGGAGAGCTGTGAGATTAGTTTGCAGGAGCAGATCGTTGCGTTTAAGGATTACAGTTTGAGTCGACTTACACGCAGAGAACTACAAAAACGTGACTGATGCTGGAAGGGCGCAGACGTCTGAAGCTTGAAGTTACAAATGCAGCAAGTTTTTTGTTTTTTACCAAACTTCACACATCCAGGGATGCAGCAACCAAAACTAGCTTCTCCCACAGAACCACTAAAAACTGTAAGCCATTCGCAGAGGGGGAGTTTGTCGAAGAGTGCTTGGTGGACTCCGCAGCGCTAACACGCCCTGAGAAAAAGAAGCGTTCCAGCAAGTCCCACAGTCCAGGTGAACCGCGACGAGAAGGATCGAGGACTTTGCTGGGAATCTGGAGCTTCGGCTGCAACGTGAAGTTTGGACTTTTTCTCATTCTCGGTGATGAAGTTGAACAAATCCAGATATAGATCCTCTCTCAGTGACGATCATCTGTCAGTTTTTCATCTCCGCCTCAGACATAATGTGACTTTTTAATGCTCTCGTTAAAGTCCAACAGAGACAAGATTTCTCTCACTGAGCAAGAAAAAAGAACTGAAGAACACCAAATGAGGTGGTTCGACTACAAATGGAACTTGTGAACCGGGACTCAAAATCACAGTTCAGTGACGTCACTATTTTATGATGTTTCGTAATATTTGGAGTACAAAGACAATGTGATGTCTCTAGAAAGCGAAGAACCTCTTTCCATCAGTATGTGAAACTGAAAATGTGTTTTGGGGTGAATGTGACTGAAAATGACCAATATGATGTTAGAAATGCTAAAAACGTTCAGTTTAACATTGTACTGGGAAATTGAAATGAAGAAATGACTATTTTTGTAAGACAACTTCACTTTTCCGTTGCTTGATCATAACAAATACTCTTACCAGTCTTACCAGTCTTACCAGCTTGTCAAAACAAATAATTACTGCATTTAGTAAAGAAACACTATTAATATTATGCAGAACTGAGTTGATATCCTGATGCATGCTCAATAATCCAGGTAGAAAAATCCAAAAAAGTTCAATCTGGTCCTCTGGACATTCAAAAAAACAAAAAACAAAACAAAGCAAAAAATGTAGAAACGTTTCGTCTCTCATCCGAGAGACTTCCTCAGTCTGAGGTGCTGTTTTCAGCTCAGTCTCTTAAATAGCACCTTCTCAGAGTGGATCAACCAGTTTGCTGCTGACAACCAAAACCAGCTGATCACATG